TGATGAAGCCGAACATTGCTAGAGGTTCCAGAAGAAAATAATAGGAATAAGGCCAGGCAGGGGATCCAAGCTGATCAAAAGCTTTGGCACAGGGAGCTCAGCACCACAGGTAAAGCCCACAGGGGCTAAATGCAGTCGAAATCGGTACTCGATCACCCATCGTGCCAGTCACTTTGAAAGGAGGACCAGGGGTGCCAGAGGCCAAAACCCATGGTCCTAGGGCAGCACAGTGCAGGAGTTGGCTGCGTGGGGAAGAGGTAAGAGAGCGTCCTTCAGTTCTCAGATACTTTGTGCAAAATGGCTATTTTTGAATCCACATCCACACACGCGGCTTTCGAGTCTCTACCAACATCAATTCCTGCACAAAGTGTGGAAGCTGAGGTGTCGTTATACCCAGCCTGTATTCACACTGGTACGCTCTGCCCCGTCCCATCCCTTCTGCTAGCCCTGCATCCTCAGGCACCAGGCAGGACAACGGAGGAAGAAATACTCTTCCTCCTCCTCTTCGGGACATTTGAGAAGTCACTTTCCCTGTTTGTAGGCTTCTCTTCATAGCAGGAACCCATGCCTTTCAAATGTTTTTAGGAGGATCTGAACAGATAAATGAAATCAAGAATCCAATAAAAATAACATTATGTCTGCAAAAATAATCACTTCTCTTCTTCACCCACCACTGCTGTTCCTTGCCCCTATGGTTTCTGACTTTCCCTCGCCCCAATAGGAAGAGAGGGAAACTCACTGTCATCAGAAAGACCAAAAGGATGAAGCCCTCTCAGCGTACACGTCCCAACGGGGAGCACAGGTTTAGCCCAGATAGCTCATAACAGATTCCAACGTGGCCAAGTGTAAAGAAGAAACTTCCAAACCATGTGTTTGCACCACGATGGGCGGTATGAGAAAGACTGGCACTCGGTATAACTCTCTTCTACATTTTCTCCCCTGTCCACTTCTGTGCCTGGTACAATGAATCTACTAATACGGTTTCCCGCGATCGCTGCTCCTCCCCAAAATCTAATATAGAATATTGGGCTTTTTATTGTATACTGGGAGTCAAAGAAAGAAGAGCGGAGTCAAAACACCCTGACAGACAACAAGTTTAGAAAAGTCTGTGTCCAGAGCAAAAAAAGGCACCTAGTGAAAAATAAAAATGTATAGCAGGTATTTAAAATAAGCTACCCAGAAATGCAGTACCATATTGTCACATTGGATGTTTATCAGATCTTCCCATTGACTTCAATGGGAACACTCCGCTTTTATGCATGAAAGATTATGCAGGCATAGCATATCCATCAGGGAAAAAAAAAAAAAAAAGGTAACAAAATCTCTAGACACAGAAGAAGTAGGTGGACAAGGGCAACCTGAGTACTGAGAAAAGCTTTGTAATAGGTTGAGGCAAAGAGGTACTTTTACTGAAAAACAAAAGCACTGAACTGAAACAGCTAGAACAAAGAACATACTTTGAAAGTAATATCAAAAAATAGAGCTTAGGAGCATAAGGACTGAAGCAAAGACATAACGACAATTTATTGACATACATTAGGAGCGGGGAGACCGCACAACAGTTACCTGGCAAGTCTGAAACTGTCCTGGGAAGCAAAGGGAGTGAATAAAGAAGAGAAAAAACACTGCAGAAAAGATAATCGCCGATTATGACCTTGAGATATTTAGTCATGCAAAAGAGTAAATGCACCCTTTCTCACCCTGTATGACCATATTAGCATTTCTTGTTAACTGGGCTCCTCATCTGAGGTACATATATTAAAAAAAAAGGCTAAGAAAAGAAACTGTATACCCACTACTTCTTCCAGTGGAAACTCAAGATTATAGAAAAGAAGCTGTATACCCACTACTTCTTCCAGTGGAAACTCAAGATTATACCTCTTAGCCTTTTATTTTTCACTTCTCTTTCACCTTCACACCAGCCAACAGCACTCTCCCTCCAAGATGAGAAGTAAAAACTACACTCCAGAAAGTTATGGAATAAGATGTCCCTTCCCTTCAACTGGAGAACACAGGAAACATGACTTTGTGTCACAAAATTCTTCACAGTCCGTTTTTTTCGAAGGTGGAGCAATATTGACCCTATTGACCCTCGTATTCGTGCGTACACCTCTCTATCTCCTGATGCTCAGAAAACCAGACAGACCCAAAGGTACCTTTTAGCTTATTGTCATCAGACAATACAGGTGGAAAAATCTATGATATTCAAGTGATCAAGTTGTCTCCTCCGGTCCCTCCAGACGGCAAATCCCATTAATCAATTCTTTTGCAAGTAAAGGGTGAAAGAGCAGCAGATACCAAAACAGAAAGTGCTGAAATAACTGGATAAATTAAAAGGCAAGCCATTCTGAGGACTAGATACATATGCAGGAGTTCTGAAGTAGTTCAAGGTTGGAGACAGGGTTTCCAACAAAAATACACACACTCTCCTATCAGGAACGAAAGGGTAGCACCCCTTAAAAACAGCCACAAACGATGATCCAGATTACATGCCAATGAATTCTAGCATTTAGTAAACTGTCTGGAAGGCTACTTTAAAAGATTATAACTTTAATGCCTAAGCAGAGATTACATAATGGAGAGAAAAACAACACTGCTAACATAATGAAAAATATGTCTTTTTTAACTTGGAGTGCATCCACAGAAGAAATTATTATTAATTTGGCCTCTCAAAAGGGCTTTGATAATGTGACTCATAAAGATCTTAAAGAAAACAGAGTAATCATGACTGAAAGTTGCGAGTCATGATTAAAACTGAGCTAAACCAGCCAAGAGTAAAAATGTAAAAGGCATTTCATGAAGAAAAAAGGTTAATAGTTGTTAACTTCAGTTAGTGGTCTGGAGAGATCAGCAGTAAAACACAAGTGGTAAAACTGACAAGTGAGGAGAGTGTATTTGGGTTACTGAAGGGTTTAACAAAGTTGAGTGAATGTGAAACATGATAAATATTTTTTTCATAATTGCTAAGGAAATCATATTGCAGCATTGTCAGCAAAGGGAAAAGTCCTGGGTGCCATTATAACAAGTTGAGGAAAGCTTTAGTGCCAAATAAGCCCAGTTTTACAGCGCATGCAAAAAAGCACAGAATACTCCATTGAAAACATTACCCTTCTAATATATGCTTCCAGGGAAATACCTTCATGGAGAATGCTATCTACAGTTCCTTTTACTTTACCTCATTAAAACCACAAAACTAACAGGAATGCAAGGGCAGGTGACCAAACTGATTTGACTTGCAGAAAGACTGCCATATAGAAAGATATCAAGTGATTGAAGTATTTATCTTAGCACATCAGCAACAGGGATACACACTTTCAAAGTCAGGAATTGTAGCCTGACTTTCTCGCCCTACTTCCAGTCTCGAATGGGAGATATCCAGTTAAATTAAATAAGCAGTAAATTCAAACTATGGGAATACATTATTTTACACAGTGCGGGCCGAGCATGTGAAAATCAGCACCACAGTCCATCATTAAGGGACATCGGGGGGATTCTGAAAGAATAGGGTTCTATTCATAGCCTACAAGAATATAGTGTTAAAAGGGACTGTTTGCTGGAAAAACCATAAAGACCTTTGCGCAAAGCCACGATAAAGGCATTGGCCGAGGGATCTAGCTGGCCCTCTTTCTGACAAGGACAGGGTATTCCAAAAGGATCAAATGTTGGTTGTCTTTGCCCTCCGTTTCTCTTACCAATCAACCCTTTGTAAGAACTGTCAGGGCGGCCTTAGCGCTAATTAGACTGTGGACCTGATCCAATACAGTAATTTCTACTTTTAAACGTTTCCTATGGCCAAAAGCAACAACAACAAAAATAAATAAATAAATAGACAAGTTCACTTTAACTAAAGTGAAATCATTCATCCTCTTAAGCGAGCTACTGCACCTGGTACGATGCTATCAACGCAGCGCTCAAACTCCACAAAAGTACTTAAAGACATGTAAGTTTTCTTTCCAACCTGCTCTTCCCCTCCCTGCAAATAATTAGCAAGAACCTAAATTATAAGATACTGTTTTACTATACAAATGCGTTTCCTCGTTTATTTTATTATCTTTTCCCCCATCCATGCGTCATTATTTGCAAAAACCATTTAATAATTACAAGAGATGGCGAGATGTGTGTCAGATTGCCACTCGCATGGTGGTTTGCTACACTTTTTGCCTTCAGTCTTGTGGCTAACGATTCACCCAAACTGCGATAATACCTCACCACAACCCACACGCTGCTGCTCTTCAAAGAAAAACAAGGATACATAATTAAGAGATGATGAGCTCAAATATGAGGCAGGAGATGAGGGAGCAGATTCTGTAACCACACCTGTGAGTGGTTATGCTACTGAAGAATTTTCTTCAGCTCCATCTTCCCTGACAGCATCAGTTACACACTTCTAGAATACATCTGCAGCAGCAACGTTGCAGCAGAAGAGGAAAAAAAAACACCTTTAAGAGCAATTATACAGAAGTAAGATTGTAAATAAGCATTATTAACAAATAACCTTTGTAACAAGTGTGGACTAGCTCTTAAAAAAAAAACAACCTATAGTTTTACTGAAAATACTGTAAAAGTCTCACCCCACAAGAACTGTGCCTGAAAATATTCTCACAGTCTCATTCCAACATTTTGTGTTCCTGTAACTGCTGTCATAATATAAAGAACTATAGATAAAAATGTATGTGTGTACATGTGCCAGCTCAGGGGCTACTGCATGGAAATAAAAATTAAGAAGTATATACAAACACATTCTAGAATCTACAGGATAAGTCCCTTGTTGGATAGTCTGAATAAACAAACCATCAAACCACTTTCCTTATAACTCTGTAAAGCCGGAACTAGTTTTTGTGGGTTTTGCCACAATTAGTGAAAGAGTTGAGAAATCTGGGGCAAAACAAGAAAACACTGAAGTGAGGACAAGTGACCATCCTTAGAAATAGGCATTAGAAAACAATAGGATCACATGCTTACTTGATGCCTGATTAAAAAAATAAATATTTTTCTGTTACCTATAAGGAGTCTTCATCTGGTCACGTCGAAGGACCGCATCTCCACAAGCCAGAGCCCGTTTGCAGGGCCAGATCCTCTAAGCAGCAACCACACCCTCCTCTTCCTCATTTTTTTCCACTGACCATGAAATACTTTCTAAGCCAGGCCCTGAAAAAAAAAAAACAAAAAACGAACCAAACATTTTTAATGGCCGCTAGATACCACATTGCTGATTTAATTAGGCAGATTAGAAACAAATAAATGTATCTGCACACGTACATTTGTATTTTCTTTTTCATCTCAAACAAATTTGGTGGGTCTGATTTGGCTCTCTATTCAAATCACAGGAAACAGCATTAAAAACGTGTTCTATACTAACATCAGAATCAAGCCCTCTATCTCTTTTTATAATTTAATATAACATGTTTTCCATTGGTACCGGAAAAAAAAAAAAAAAACAAAAAAGAGTATCTTAGGGCAAGCCTATGTATTTTGTAATAGTAATAGATGCCACAAGAAGACAAGCATAGAGAGACATTCCAGAGGTTGTCTCTTCAGTCTGTAGGGTTCTATCGATTTGAACCTCAGGCAGACTTGTTTAACTCCATTTTTTAATTATTTTTTTTTAAAAATGGTATTTGAGTAAAACTTTTCCAGCTTACGTCTCATAACCTCATCCAGGCTATCAAATAATTAGGACCACAGTATCTTTAGCACAGGTAATAATGATACTGCATAGTGAGCATCACCGAGCATGTCCTTACTCTTATTATACTTTATACAATTTATTTTATCAATAATTTGGCAGTACATAGAACCGTACAAAAAATGATTGTTGCTACAAACTGTTTTGCATATTGTATGATCTGCTGCCTTTAATTAATTATTTAAATGCCACTGTAATTATACTACATTTCATATTCTATTTAACCAGAGAATATGGAATATGAATACAAAGTAACAAAAACAACTTTTTCCAGTAACTCAAAAAACATCCATTTATTTTCAAATAACAGCTCCAGCATTCAACAACACAGCGAGAATACAGTATTTAGGGTTTAGCAATTTAAGCTCTATTTTTTGCAAATAACTGCACAAAGATATTATTGTTCAGCTATCATTAGGACTGTGAAATTAATGTTAGAATAAGGTGCATGATTATTTAAATTTAGAACTAAATATGTAACCTGGATCCACAGCTTCATGCTATTATGTTTGCTAAAAGAGCAAATTGATATTAAAATAAAAACATTAAGATTATATGGAGATGTTAGGGGACGTCAATGTGTATTACAGGTAGTATATTAAATAATGTCAAATCCAAAATAATTTTGTAATCTCAGCATCTACTGTATATTTATTGACATACGAGTCCATACTAGAGAAAAACACTCTTATAAAGAAATGACACACTTTTCACTATTAGTTTCATATAGTCCTGCTACATCCTCACAGGTTTCCAATGCACAATTTTGAAATCTCAAAGCCTGCATAATGCACGGTTAGATAAAGTACACGTGCTGTATTTTGCACATACAGCAAAATATAAATAACTTGCAGACGAAACATTTTTAATGGCCGCTAGATACCACATTGCTGATTTAATTAGGCAGATTAGAAACAAATAAATGTATCTGCACACGTACATTTGTATTTTCTTTTTCATCTCAAACAAATTTGGTGGGTCTGATTTGGCTCTCTATTCAAATCACAGGAAACAGCATTAAAAACGTGTTCTATACTAACATCAGAATCAAGCCCTCTATCTCTTTTTATAATTTAATATAACATGTTTTCCACTGGTACCGGAAAAAAAAAAAAAAAAAAAAATCACAAATCATTTTATAATTTAATATAACATGTTTTCCATTGGTACCGGAAAAAAAAAAAAATTACAAAAAAGAGTATCTTAGGGCAAGCCTATGTATTTTGTAATAGAGAGTCTCTTAGGGCAAGCCTATGTATTTTGTAATAGTAATAGATGCCACAAGAAGACAAGCATAGAGAGACATTCCAGAGGTTGTCTCTTCAGTCTGTAGGGTTCTATCGATTTGAACCTCAGGCAGACTTGTTTAACTCCATTTTTTAATTATTTTTTTTTAAAAATGGTATTTGAGTAAAACTTTTCCAGCTTACGTCTCATAACCTCATCCAGGCTATCAAATAATTAGGACCACAGTATCTTTAGCACAGGTAATAATGATACTGCATAGTGAGCATCACCCAGCATGTCCTTACTCTTATTATACTTTATACAATTTATTTTATCAATAATTTGGCAGTACATAGAACCGTACAAAAAATGATTGTTGCTACAAACTGTTTTGCATATTGTATGATCTGCTGCCTTTAATTAATTATTTAAATGCCACTGTAATTATACTACATTTCATATTCTATTTAACCAGAGAATATGGAATATGAATACAAAGTAACAAAAACAACTTTTTCCAGTAACTCAAAAAACATCCATTTATTTTCAAATAACAGCTCCAGCATTCAACAACACAGCGAGAATACAGTATTTAGGGTTTAGCAATTTAAGCTCTATTTTTTGCAAATAACTGCACAAAGATATTATTGTTCAGCTATCATTAGGACTGTGAAATTAATGTTAGAATAAGGTGCATGATTATTTAAATTTAGAACTAAATATGTAACCTGGATCCACAGCTTCATGCTATTATGTTTGCTAAAAGAGCAAATTGATATTAAAATAAAAACATTAAGATTATATGGAGATGTGTGTTAGGGGACGTCAACGTGTATTACAGGTAGTATATTAAATAATGTCTAGGGGACGTCAATGTGTATTACAGGTAGTATATTAAATAATGTCAAATCCAAAATAATTTTGTAATCTCAGCATCTACTGTATATTTATTGACATACGAGTCCATACTAGAGAAAAACACTCTTATAAAGAAATGACACACTTTTCACTATTAGTTTCATATAGTCCTGCTACATCCTCACAGGTTTCCAATGCACAATTTTGAAATCTCAAAGCCTGCATAATGCACGGTTAGATAAAGTACACGTGCTGTATTTTGCACATACAGCAAAATATAAATAACTTGCAGAATAATATCAATACTATAGTATTTGTAGATGTGTTTATTCATACAAAAATCTTTTTTCTCTAAGCTGCAGAATATTGGGTGATACGTCTACCTTTTATCATACTGGAGTGCTCCAATAGGCAACACTGGCTTTTAGATCCAAATAGGTACTGGGGGAATATGTTAGCACACCAGTATGTTACTGGTCTACAAAGATTCACCCCTTAAAGCCCTCCCATCCACATATTCCACGACAGAAAAGCACACTTACTGCAGGCTCTTTGCACTCGTATTTACGAAGGTGCTCTGCAGAAAAGAGAGCAAACAGAAATCCAAGGGTTAACAGCACAAAACAAAACACCCCACCAAAATCCCCAGCCACACCGAAGACCTTGCAAGAGAAGGAAAACGTTTGGCAGGTAACAGCTGAAGAAAAAGCCAACAGAGAATTTAGGGTACAGCCTGGGTACCAGCTCTGGGATTTCGGAAAGCCTTGGATTACAAGGACCATCCCCTTGAAAATCCAGCCCATAGCTCCTGCACTGTTTTCTACCAACACCACATCCCAACTGTGACTCAACACCTCATTATGCTTCTCTGGCACTATCTGAAGGAAACATATCGTACAATTTCACATGGCACCTAAAAGCAGAGGAAAAAAAGAAGTTATTTTCCCTACCAAAAGGAGTTATTTTCTCTACCAGCAAGTTCTGTGCAAAAACTTGCATGATCAGTAAATCTTCCCCCCCCCCCCC